TATCAGATGGAGTAGAAACTTAATCAAATCTGATTCGATCAATTTTTTTCTAAGAGTGAGGTTGTAAGGTCTGGTAAGTACCTAGAAATATTCCCCTCTTCATTCTACATCTAGTCTTTGATTAGTCGATGAAGTTCAGGCATAGATCGATTTCATCAGATAATTACCCCCGTACTTCCTCGAAGGTTTTCGGAAAAGTTGTCTCAAAGCCTTGAAAGACTGACTTTTCTAACAACTGTACTTTAAGAATAACAAAATCAAATTTAAAGTGTTTTCTATTAAGCTAGAATGTAGCGATAACATTTTTGATCAAACTAAGACGTCTTCCATCCCTGGGTTATGTTTCAGTTAAATATTTTGAGATTTTTACTAGAGCTCTAAATCAGGTACGAGGTACTGGCTCTACCCTGTTCCTAGAGCGACGTCGATCCTTAGAGGATTAGCATTTGCAGGCATTCTCCGTGAAATAAAATGTTGTAGAGCTTGGATTAGTCCTAAATCAAAGCTAACACATGTAGCTAGTAGAGCCCGATTTTTGACGTTCGGCCTAGATCTGTGATTAGAGAAACATCTTCGTGCAGGTTATTGAACCACAAACTGCAAAAAAGCATCAGAATATGAAGGGTAAGAAAGATAAACATACAAAAAGTAATTAATTTTTTTAAAAATTAAATTTAAACTATTCCCCTTTCCAAAAACCAGTGGTACAAGGTGAAAGAGTATCTGTGAATAGGATTTGCCAATACTTCATTTTCTCATTTCAACTGTAAATCAGAAAAAAAGCTTTAGATCACAATGTTATATATTGGTTGTGACTCCTTTGTATGATATATAAAAGTTCATTCTTGTTTTTACTTTATTCTTTTTTACAGTTTAATGAACGTCATTGACAAGTAGGTTTTGTCTTCAATTAATGATCATAATTCATTGATTACAAAATCATATAGAATATGAAAAAATGTTCATTTTATATTGAACACAGATGGTTAATTTATATACATGTATGTCCTAGACTAAGTACAGATAAATGACTCTTACACATAAGCTATTCTTTAATGTTATTGTTCAAATCTGAACTAGAAAATGAGAGAGATATGAGTAAGAAATTTTACCCATATTTCTTTCTTTTAGAAAAAAATGATTTTTTAGTTTTATCATTGTATGAGGTATGCTTGATATAATTTACTCAAACTTCCATACTCTGGTAATTTATCACTTATTAAAATACTGTTCTTTTTATTATTTAAACAAAACGTTGAAAATTAAAATGTCTTAGAATGATATAGAGTAATATTCAAACGAAATGAAGTTTATTATGAAAAAATGCAGTCATCTTTCATCGAAAATCGGCAACATTTACATCTTAAACTAGCACATTCTTTAAATTGTTTAAATATACCAGCCGAAACATCACATGGTTTATGGACGTCCATTTTATCAGAAAAAAAATTTTGCTCGAAACTAACGGGAAGTATAGATCATGTGTCCTCGATATATCATTTTGAAGAAAAGTCTATGTTGGGTTCCACTCAAATAAATAAAACTCATTTGCCATTTAAAAAAAATGACCAATTTATACTGCCATTCTCGTCTACATCTGGAAATATCAATGTTCCTACCAAACTGTGCCTTGTCAAAACGAATTCACAAAACAAGTTTTTAGACAATAATAACAGTTTCAACGCTGAAAAGGCTGACAATAGTTTAACGTATAAAAAAATCACTCCAATATCATCATCAAGCTCGTATTTAGACAATCTTATTCCATCACAATTGATTCAAGATGATTTACCGTTAAAAAATCAAATTTTTCCAAACAGACGATCGCCATTAAGTTTCTCACGTTATTCGTCATTTCAATCTTCTTCAACACATCTGAAAACGTCTTTCTATGAAACAGCTTCGTCACAGATAACTAGCGGAATACTCCGTAAGAACCCAAAGCTTCATGATTTATTCCATTTGAATAGTGATTATGATTGTGCCAAAATTCACTTTAAACAGAATCAAAAGTCAAGAACAAATCCTGATATGCCACTGTCCGATAAACCTTATTTCCGATCGAATTCACGTTTGCATCTTACACGTAAGATGGTTAGTCATCTATTATTCAAGCTATAATTGTTATTTTTCTAGGTGGGAATTTAAGACATCAAAATAGAGTGGAAGCACCTAAATTTACTTGTCGAAAACTGCCTCTACGTCGAATGTCACAGCGCACGATAAACTTCAAGCAATCTGCACAGAAAATACGAAAGCAAATATCGTGTGAAACAAGCAATGATTTGTTTCCTATCACTTCGAAATCTCTTCCAGAACTTTACCAATTTATGAACTATAAACATTTGAATAAAAAAATAATCGATACCATGCCACAACCAAATTTCATTAGGAAGCAAAGTACTGGCCAATCGCAACTAGAATTCAATACGATTACTTCATGGGATACGTCGAGATCTTGGAGCTGGGTAAATAAGAGAAACAAAGATAGAAAACAGGTGAGAAGTAGACCTGTGATAGGTCATCGTTTCTCGATAATGAGAAATACATTTCAATTAAAGTTGATTAAACATCAGTTTTTGTTCCTCAACTAGGAACGATCTAATAATTCACCAGTTCGAGTTCGAATGAGAACTTCAGTTGTTTTTGAGAGAGGAGCTGTTGACGCTCTCCTTCTTAGTGGTCTGTTAGTGTATTTTGTGTTCATATAACGAACATTTTGAAACAGCAAAAAACGAACAGACCACTAAGAAGGAGAGCATCAACAGTTCCTCTCTCAAAAATAACTATAACTCCCGTCCTAAGAAACTAGAACTGGTGAGCTGTTTCTCGTTCCTAGTGGGAGCGAGGATTGGGAAGCAGTTCACGTTCAACGCACGGAAATCGTGAATGAAACAGCTAGTGAGAATGATAGGGCTACTGAGAAGTAAACCGTACATGGAAATGATTTCAAAATTTAGACTGTAAAAATCTCTTATTTGTATTAATTAAACCTTGCACACTACAGTTTTTACTTTTTTCAAAGGTTTTTAATGATAGTCTTCAACCTTACCCCCTTCGGCCTCAGTTAACAGTTATAATAGAATCTCCTCAGTGTACAACGCATCATAACGTTAAACACCATCAAGTACCGAAGTCGAAAAATAACGCATCATCAAAATTATTATTATCAACAGAATCGAAATATTCGCTTCCATTTCTCGAAAATAACAGCATGTCACGCTCGAAGTCTGATTACACTGTTAAGAAAGTCAATAATTATCAATATTCCAACAACAACAATAGTTTCGTCAAATGTTCTTCAAATCCGTATGTAATACAACTTGAAGACAATGTATCAACGCAACAGAAAAGTGAAACACGATTATTATCCACCGTTAAACATCACCCATCAAATGACGTCAATACAGAATTGCAGGATCAATCAAAATGTTTAGACGACTCATTTCTATCAATTTCTATATGCTCATCCAACAGCTTTCATTCATGTCGAAGTGATACATCTGCTTCATGCAATTTTATAGACATAAACAATATGCAACATTTACCAACAGATTCAAATAAAAATTTTAACCAAAAAATTCCTTTCTATTTAAATAATAGCAATTCAAATTGTTCGTCACGCGAATCCATAAGCTCATCTTATTCGACTCGACAATCGAAGAGTATCTTTAAACATTATTGTAATATTCAATAGTCTAAATTTAAATCAACATTTATCGTAGGCTAAATACTAAAAACAACAACAACAATCTTAAAACAAGCTTTCACACATTTTTTTTCCTTTTCTGTAATCTTTCCGCTTACTAGTGAATAAAGATGTATCAAAACCATACAAAGTGTCAGATATAGAAACTCCTTGAGAGATTTTTAAGTTTTTGATTCTCGAGTTGCAACAGGCTAGTCTTTCTGAAAGAAAAAAAGAGATTCATTATTTTTCTACAATAGTGTTTTAGCAGGACTTATTTACGTAAATTAAACAAATCGCTCTAATTCGATGGCACTGACTAGATTTTCTATATAAAGAAAAATAATACTCCAAAAGAATATGAATTCTTTATGCTGTCTATTATTTATTTGAGAGCGCCAAACTGATCAATGCACTACGTATCGAAGACTGACCATATGGATGAGAGAGTGTGTATAATCGCTAATGTAAGAAAACGTAGCTTATTCTACAAATGCCATTTGGTATATTGAATCCACTTGATTATAAAAAACATTCATTAGAATTTCAACAATTACATGAACGAGAATATCATAAATTCATTCAACGTCTAAATCTTCAACGAAATAATTTCAATTGTCGAGAATGTTCAAGAGAAAAAAAAAGTACATGGAATTTATCTATTGTTGAAAGGCAACGTTCTCATCATAATCATCTAGTAGACTGTTATAATATTGACTATTATAAATTACGTCATTTACAACTTCAAAATCGTAATGATCAACGACGTTTTGAATATGAGCGTATACAAAAAGCAAATTTTGAATTTGGACAACGTTTAATACAAGTAAAAGGACATTTTTCTCGTAAAGAACACGATGATCATTGGCAACGACATTGTGATATGAAAAAACGTTTACAAAAATATCCGACACTATCGTCAACAGTGACAATACAAAATGAAAAACTAAAATCATGTATAAAATTTCCAACTGATATTTATTTTGCTACAATTATTAATCAACAACATGATTCTGCACAAAAAAAATTAAGCAACTCAACGTTGACAAGTAACCGATCAAAATCAATTAAAACGAATGCAGTACACCGTAAAAATATGAGAATAGAGGATGATCAAATAACATCACTACCGCAAATAACTACAACTACAACTGAGTCGATCATTGAAACAAGAACTGTTGAACAACCCAACTTCGCTCTGTATCCGATAACATCTTCCATTGAAGATGTTACAATCATGAAAAAACAAGATGAGATCATGCTACCAGTTAAACAATGTGGACATATTATTAATAAGAATAATAGAGGCGAACACAAACGCACTCAAAAAAAACGAAAAAAATCTTTATTACAAAAGTCTCAAATAAAAAATAATGATAAAACTGATATGTTAAAACGACGTAAAAACCCCGATATTCAATCTTCATCGCTCAACAGTCAATTACCATCGATATCTAAACCGTCCGTGCCATTACTACCAAAATCAGCTTGGAAATCACCATCAGATAAAAAATCTATCAGCACACTAAATGAGAGTGGTTCAGGAGTAATCAGTAATGAAAAACATCATAATGAACCATTTGGTGTTGGTGATCACAGTGTCAATACTTTTGATGCATTGAACCGTTATTATTATAAACAAAATAGTGATATAAAATCTGTTTTACCCTCTCATTTACTTCATAATCAGGTCTTTGGTGCCTTGACATTGTCATCAGGTTTAAATGATGATATTATTGATAATATCACTATACAATCACCGATAATAAGGTCCGAAGTTGAAACTGAATATCGTTCTCTACAAGAAAAATGTTTAAAAGTAGAGAAAAGCAGTTCGGTAGATAACGTTATTAATGATGATATTGATTTTCAGCATCAATTGTCTAAAAATAGTCATCACTCTTTAACAACAGCATGTCCCAATCTCGATCAGACAACATGGAAACAAGTATGTGTATTAAGTGATGATGAAAAATCTTTAACTGATATATCAATGATGAATAAGAATAATGAACAACAGAAAAGAAATTGTAGAAACAGTAGTCATTTTAGTTCTAATTCTTCTGATGATATTTCATGTTCAATGCATGAAACATCGTCTAACAATTGGGAACATTTAAAAAAAGATAGTACTGATTTATTTTCGTAAAACAACAAAGATATTAATGAATTTTGTATACAAATATTGATTGATTGTAAGAACAAGTGTCTCCTAGCCGACTCTTCTTCAATCTCCTTTTATGATAGTCAGTGATTAAGTGAAGCGATTTTTTCCATTCGATTTGAATGAAACTTCCAGGAAATGTTGGTCTTATTGAGAAGCAATTATAATAAAATTTTGAACACTCCATCTAACACCTATGAAAACTTTTTCGACAGAAAAAGTACGATATATCGTGGTGTGATACCCGTTACGATAAAATACCGTATCGTGACGTAACATATTCATTGCTTCATCGCTATGTGAGGTCTTATCGCGCTGTGTATAGAGTTTATTGTGCTTAAATAGAATATTTAATAATATCGGGAAACATGTTACATCTGGACATACAGCGTTATCGCGATAAATCTAGTACATGATGAAATAAGACCACACATAGTGATGAACCGGTGGATATATTACATCGTGATACAATATTTTATCGCAATGGGTATCACACAACGATATATCGTACTTTTTCTATCGAAAAAGTCCGCATGGACAGGAATCCTGTCCATGCGCCACTTTTTGACGTTTTTTTTTTTGTTTAAAAGTATCCATGTGAAATTTCCTTTAAAAAATGCAAATCAGCTAACAATCGTTTCTACAAGAACGTAAATAATAAAAATCAAAAATCTGTTTCTTGTATGTGACTGTTACTTTTAATTTAAAATCAAATTTGGCAAAGAAAATCTTGTAATCAGTATCTGTTACCAAGCTGGAACACGCGAGATACTTTATTTTCAAAAAATCTATACTTTATATAAAGTTTGATATGAAAATAATTTGAATATGTATTTTTATGAGTTCTCAATATGCTGAATTCGCTACATACGCACGTATATACCTCATATGTATCAGTCTTAGAGATGGGCATCGGGACCAAAAAAATTTTCTGGTCCCTGTAAAAGATTTGATGGCCGTTCCATCACCTTCACGGTTAAAATATCATTTGGCCGTGCAT